CTTGCTTGCATTGGCTAGATTGTGTCAGGCGTGAAAAATTCCCGCCTAGCTAAAAATAAAATCTGCGAGGGGTTTCAATTCGGGGCTGCGCACTTCGATTGGCCCGCGTAGCCCTGGCTGCCAGAAATAAACTCTTTTCCCTTTCCTATCTTACCCGGCGGACGTTGGCCATAACATCTCAGGGCTCGTCTGGGATCCCTTAAGCCTCTCGAGAACCGTCCTTTTGGCCTTGGGACCTTTTGGATCTCTAGGGGGGAATTCCTGAAAAGACGTTCTTCAGCCCCAGAGAGACAAACCCCACGGCAGGCGCCATTGAATTTGGTGAGTTGACTCCTTGGTTGGGAAAAAGGCTAGGGTGGACGCAGCTGGAGACGCCTCTTTCCCTGGATCAAACGAGACGTCCTTCTGATCCGTTGGGATCTTTTTTAGGTCATTGGGACTTTCGTTTTGATTTTAAAATCTTTTATTATATGCATATCCTTTGTTAGTTTCAGTCTGTGTTCAAGTCCTTTTGTTCGTCTAGTTTCATTTTGTGTCGTCTGCTATAAGTCTAGCTTGGCCATTTCAGCTCCACAGGACATCATGGGACAAGGATCCTCCAGACCAACTGTTCTCCAATGTTTTCTTATGAACTTTAACACCTTCCGAGAGAAGGCTGCAGACTTTGGGGCCTCCGTGGACCCCGAAGTCTTGCGAGTCCTTTGTGAGACTGATTGGCCGGCCTTCAATGTCGCTGGCCATCAGAGGGCTCCCTTAGCCCCCCTTAGCTCAGGCTGTCAGACGGGTCTTCTTCGGAAAACCCGGACACCCCGATCAGATACCTTATATTCTCATTTGGATTGAAATTCTGTCTTACCCTCCTCCTTGGTTAAAAAGATGTTTTCCAGGTTTAAAGAAAAATGCTCACCGCCGAGAAACCACCGCCATTCTCCTGACAAAGCCGTGCCCTGATTCTACCCCTAAGCAAATTTTATCAACCTCTCCAGAGGAGCCGGACCTGATCTGCCGCCCTCCACCTTATGCAGAGGACCCCACCCAAGGGTCTAACCCACTTATCTCTCCCCCACACCCGCTCTGGGGCCTCTTATTGTCTCCAGAGTCCCGCCTCACCAGTGTCCCCTCCTTCCTCTGCTTCCCCTTCTTCACCTTCCTCAACTGGTTCCCCTCCTGGACTTTTCCCCTTGCGTGAGGCCGCAGGGGTAAATGGCCCTTTTATGGCATATGTTCCCTTTACCACCAGTGATCTTTACAACTGGAAAAACCAGAACCCTTCCTTTTCCGCCGATCCACATTGAGTCTGTCTCTTATACTCACCAGCCCACCTGGGATGATGCCAACAATTGTTACAGACTGTTCACTTCTGAGGAACGTGAATGAATCCGCCGAGAGGCCCAACGGGCTGTACTGGGCCCCAACGGTCTCCCCACAGATGACCCTGAGCAATTGGCTGCTGTTTTCCCCACCTGCCGCCCCAATTGGGACCCATATAGTAAGAGAGGTAAGGAGGCTCTCGATCGGTTTCGCCAGGTCCTGTTACGAGGGGTTCGAGCTGCAGCCCAAAAACCCACA